CTTCCAGCTCCATTGCTTTTGATTTCCAATTAGTGGGCACTCACTCCTGTAGCCGATTTGAGGAGAGCGAGCTTTCCCTCGCTCTCTCTTGCTGTTACTCTCGCTTTCTGTGTGCATGTGTGTATTGCCTTGTGCCCCTGAGAAAAAGTGGAGCTGTTTATTTGAGGGGGGGGGAAAGTCTGACTCGCTCATTAACTGCAATTAATCTGAAAAGGTGTCCTGTGGAACTAGACCAAAGAGGAACAGGGGATAGGGCGGTGGGTAGTTTGATTTCCTGGTCAGTATCGGTCCCATTAGTAACATACTGTTTTAACAATAACACCTTTTCTATGTACAAGGCACCCAATACCATTATACTGTACATAAGCTGCAAGAATACTGCAGCATGTTACATGTCACATTTTAGAGTATTTGAAACAGGAAACATAGATAATTACAGAGGAAATAATATTTACAATAAGAGGTACAGTAATAGATATATATCAAATCAAACTGTTGCTTTTCCTCCACCTTACGTGACCCGAGAGACAAATTTTCCCATTCACCTTTATTTGCCCGTCTATGAGAGACTGAAAATTGGCAATAAAGATTCGTACAGAATTTCTAGTGGCTGCTAGAGGATCATTTAGCCACAAGTTATTTAGCAATTTGATCAGACCTTTACAGATTTACTGCAGCGGTTGGTGTTAAGAGATAGAAGTCTTAATCTTTAAGGGTTTTAAGGCTTGATCTGCAGAGGGCAAATCTTTTCTAGATAGTCATTTGGCTGATAATGTTTGATTTATCATTGTTGGAATTAGTACTGCGAGAGATCCACGAGTCAGATTGAAACCACACCACTGTAATATTGAGCTAATGTATTTAAGTAGATGTGGTGGGGGTTTTTGTTGGGAAAAAAAAAGAAAAAGAAGAAAAATAAAAAACCAAAAACAGCAGTGTTGTCTGTGATGTGGTGCACTATGAGACGAATGACAAAATTCAACACTGGCAGCGTGAAACAGAGTCTCTCTCGGGGAAACTGATGTCCTTGTCCAGGACTTGTGCCAAATCTCAGAGGACGCACCATATTGTACCCCACACCAAAAATCCCACCAAGGGCAGATGATGCCTCTTTAAGTTTAATCCAAATTCTTGTATAAAGGGTAATCTTTGGCACCACTGTTTCTCTGCACAACAATTCATAATGAAATGAGACTGTGTTCACAGTGCAACTACTTTGACTATTCCGAATACCACTTTTTGAGTTTCGGAGACTGAGTCAACAGCAGATATTTGAAGCTTCACCTAACGCAGGGGTGTAGTGACTTTGATAACCACAATGTTGTCTGAAAATTGTCTAAGTTGACTCCAAGCTAGAGCAATTAGTAGTGTTAGTTTTTGACTAGGTTTAGATCTTCTGAAAAACAAGAAATATTCACACTAGAGTTAAAACAGGACCTTCTTGTGACTAGAAAAAATGGGTTATTGCCCAGAGGTAGCACTGAATTTTTTTTCCTATTTGGCGACTGATTGCAATTAGCTGTGGCAGACACTTTTGATTGCAAGGCCTTTGCACAGGTCGCCTGGTCGAAGGCAGTCTGTCTCCAAACACTCCAACATAGACTGACTGCAGTTCCTCTGAGGCAGTTTAGTGATTCAGTCTTAGTCAGTGTGCACTGATGAGCCCACATTGTCTGCAAGGCCTCTCTTTGAATTTCTGTTTAATGTGAATTTCAATGACATAGCTGAGATTTGTTCTCATTTATCACAGTAAATTGTTATATTATCACAAATAGATTGCATGCAATTACCAATTTAACCCCATTCAATTGCAAACTGATTGCAGACTTTCTTTTTCTTATTGTAGTTTTATTGCCTTCTTGACGCAACAAGCTCACTTTGAAAATGGCATCGGGCCGCGAGGGGTTGCAGGATTAGTCCCTTATCTCGAAGTAACTATTTCAAAGATAACAAGATGACAATGTTTCACGATAATTTTGTTCTCATACCAACTGTTTTCCCGGGTGTGACTGTAGGATGAAAGACTATGGAAAGTTGCTAAATCTGGCAAGAAAGTTGTGAAGTTTGCAACAGCAAAGCGAGCTAAAGCTGCTGTGATTATCGCTGCTTTGAGTAAGAAGTTTCTCTGGTGAAAAGAGATGGTAAATATTTCTCTTTTGTGCATTTACCCACTAAAACAGTTTGACGTATGAAGGGAACAAAAGTGTGGGGATTACTGTTATGACGTGCACCCGAGTTGAGATGGTAAAAGATGATCACCCAAATTTTAAAACTCAAAACCAAAGACCTAAATAACAAACAGCCAGTTATTAAGATACAGCTCAAGTAAACACTCCACACACTCAATGAACTCTCACAGAATCAAAATCAGCTTTATTGGCCAGCTACAAGGAGCTGGGCTCTTTTTGCTCTCTGTGTGCTTAAAAAAGATGTGCAGACAACAAAAACGTGTGTGGCATATGTACAGATTTGCATGTGCAATGGTACAAAGTGCAAAGATACTGGAATAAATATGGAGTCTATAACTGGCAACTGCTGTATTTATACACCTATAGACTTGAGACAATGAAAGCTTAAATGTCAAGAGGACTCTTTGTCAAATGCACTAACTTTCTGCTAATTCTTGAAGCTATTTTGGTACAAGTGATGTCATAGTGAGCTGCCACCACAACCACAAAGAAACAAAACAGAGAAAAAGAAACCAAAAGAAAAGAAGGTTGAATTTAAAAGAAAACATAAAAGAGTTCACGGTGTGGCTGCCAGTTGCTCATCAAAGCACAGCTTTTTCTTCTTTATTGCAATGGCTAGTCAAGGCTTGACTTAAAAGGAGCCCGGGCCTTCACTAAAGACCCACGTTGGTGCTGTGACATGCTCACTATGCCACATCACAGATGCTTTTTGTAATTCCCCCAGTACTGACCACTCCAAACATACCCAAATCCCTCTTGTCAACAGAGAAAAGACAACACGGGGAACAGACTTCTCAGCTTCTTTCTTGTTATTTGACTTGTCAAAAGTTTCCATATCGTGTTTTGGGTTCTACACAGCATAACTAAGACCTTGGAAGCAGCTTATCTGCTTAAAACAGGAGGGTGAGAGAGGGTGAAAAAAGTGTCTTAGTCTTCCATCTATTTCCTGGTTCACGGAGTGGGTTTATTGAAGCCACCAGAGCTTCAGTTTCTCCCTCTAGATTCTCCCTCCACCATACCCACTAGTCTAATCCACTTAGGCCCACGCTACCTCCACTAGTTTTGATTGGCTGGGCATCCTAAATTTCCACCACAGGACTCAGAAGAAAAAAAAAATCAATAATCTTCACTGCACTGCAAAAAGTCTCTCTGTTAAAAACAGGAATGTGGAATAGCTGAGAGCGTAGGACCTGTCCTTCCTGACAAAGTACAGTCATCTAACTGTATGCGCTTCATTGTTCTCAAGCATTTGCACTTCATTGCAAAATGCACCGCATGTAAACATCTGCCACAACAACTGTATCTTTTACATTTTCGTTGTTGCCTATTACTGGCATGGCTCGGTCTCTCACTTTCTCCCAAAACTGATGCTAATGCCGTTGAAACCCCAGGTGCTTCTCCGCGGCACTTCAAGTCCAACATCAGTCCCTGCTACCCCCCTTCCCCAGGGTCCAATTTTCCTGGCATGAAGCTTCAAGGTCCTCAGCTGAGCTCTCTGTTTAGCAACGACAGTAGCGGCGAGCACGGATGTGTGTCAGGCGTAATGTAATGAGCGTCCCAGAGATTGAACCCCAGTCTTCCTCCGCCTTTTGCCTGAAAATAGATTTGTTCTCACGCACAAAACAGATATTGCAATCACATTCACTTCTTGTTGATCCTCGTGGGGATTTGCTGCATCCCTACCAAAAATGTAAATGAATGCAGGGAGTTTTGGGGGCTGAGGGGGCGGGGATAGAAATCATCGGTGATAAATCACATTACCCGCAAATTCTGCTTAGCAACAAAACAAGACTGCACTGTAAGCAACAGCAACTCCGAATTAGTCCTGAGTCTACTATTTCCCTCACACTATTCCCTGTTATTGTCAGCTCACTCCATTTCCGTGTTTTATTGCACATTTACAAGAAAGCAAAACTGTGCTTTAGAAGAGTACATTTGTACAGGGACCACTTCCGATGTTAAAAAAAAAAAAAAAAGCACGGTGTAATGGATTTCCAGTACATATTTCTCAGCATGGTGGAATGTTAGTACAGGAAAGCAGAGGGGAGGGTTGGGGACCAGGCCTATCTCAATACCCCTTTCTGTAACTCATGGGAATGTCAGGTAGCAGTGACTAGTGAAGATGTGGCTAAATGGTGGCCTTTTTTTTGGCGTGCTGCCTGGGGTCTTTGTGGCGCGCACAAGACTTGCAAGACTGCCATTTTATTACGCCTTCGGAACCTTGGATGTCCGCTGTCGGACTAACAAGCTCGGGGAAGTGTAGTAAAAGGTCCAGGACATAGGGTGAGAGATATCTGAAGTCCACTTAATTACCTCAGAGACATATGGAGAGAGAGCGAGGAACACTCTGGGTGTGGATTTGTGTGAGCACATTTGTTTGTTCTGTGGTTGTGTTACACTAGTGGGGGAACGAAAGAAGAGGGAAAAAAAAGGCGATGACTCGCAGGTAATGGATTGGGTTTCTGCTTACATAATTTCTGCCTCCACCTTTAAAATTTTGAAACACTGACAAATATTAATGCAAGTTGTGCAAACTCGGGATCCTCGGGGGAGACTATCTCAGACGTTTCATGTCCCTCGATTAATAAATGATGTCCCCCTCTCTTGACACAGCCTATTCTTAACCCCCCGACTCTGTACAATGCTGCGAGACGATCATTTTTCAGGGTAGCCGGAGACAGCCTCAGCCTGCGTTGAAGTTTAGCTTGCTGTACGTTGTAATTTGCTGACGTTTCTTCTTCTTTTTTCTTGCTTTCTCTCCTCCTCACCCCCTCCCCCCTCCCCCACTTTTCCCAAATGATTTGCTTACAGATGTGACCAACCATTCCGCACTAGGTAAGACTTGTTTCATTTTTCACAGCACTATTCCCAAGAGTGAGAGCGCTGTTTGAGTTGTCACGTGTCTATGGAAGTGATGCAAATGCATGAATATAGAAAAAGGGTTAGGTGACGGGTGGGGCTTGGGAAGAGCCAACGCAACACCGAGATGCTGATGTTTGCCCAGTAAGGTACGCAATGCCCTGCAATCCCCACCCATCCCGTTTTCCCATATGTGTGCATGAGAATACACAATGGTGGCTTTCTCTGGCAAGTGGAGTGTGTGCTCTGTGCCTTCAATTTGAGTTTTATTCAAATGAGAATCAAATGTCCCAGATTGTTCAAAGAATACGCCAGCAGTGTTGACTTAAACAAGCATTGAACGGATGGTGTTTGTTTCCACTCTGTGGTGAGTGTGTGGAAATCTCACATGTGCTAAGCTGTGAACCCCTTTGCTGTTTCGGCAAGTCCACGTGTCAACAAGAAACCGCTGGTAGCGTGGATAGTGGCCATGTAGTGAGAGAAACCTGGATTTCTTGTT